CCCAGATAAGCAAGATTAATGAGGGAGTGAAAATCTTGTAGAAATGAAACTAATTAAAAAGCTTCTGCTGGCCGATTGTGAAACAAATGATAAGCATTCTCCTTTGTTTTGAATTCTTGTAAGAGTTATCAAACAGTGTTCATTATTACCGGAGAAACCAGCCTGCTCGGCGCCATTTTAAAAGCCTCTAAGTAAATAGTTTTTCGGAGGAGAAAAAGAAAAGAAGCTAAAATCTTGATAAACAATTATTGCCCACGTAATACGGATCCAGCTCGTGATAAGATTAAATCAATCAAAACTTTGAACTGAGTGGGGGAGACCTACTTTGTCCCGCACAAGGCAGTTTGAAGTTCCCAGCACGGACAGCCGTTCTGCCTTGGGCTAGCCCCCCTCTCCCTGCAAGCACAAAAGCTGCAAAAATCGAAGAGCATTTGCCAGCAAAACAATTTCTTCTTTCCTTCTTGCCTGAAGGATAAGAAAACCTGATAAGACGTCAGATGGAAGATCCTCTAAATAGGTATGTAGCCAGGAATTCGGAGGCAGCTGATTTTTTGCTGCCACCATCAGCAAGCTCCACTCAGGAAGTCGGTTCCTGACCTTAAAGGTTGCGTTCCTGGTGGCAATAACATCGGCCAAATGTATCTTGGAGCTGGGGCTTCTGTCATCCAGAGGGGATCTCTGTGTTTTTCATCAGGACAGGGTGGTCCTCAGGTTGAACCCGTCCTTCATCCCTAAAGTAAACATATTCTGCCAATATCCTCTATGGGTGCCTGGGTTGACCATGCTGCCGACGTGGCTGCACTCCTGGTGGAGTGGGCCGTAATTCCAGCTGGCACCGTAAGGCTGTGAGCCTTGTAGGCTTTAGTAATAGCCAACCTGATCCATCTACCAATGGTAGCTGAGGATACCCTAGCCCCAAGGATGGAAGGCTAGAAGGAGATAAATGATGCCTCCAACCTCCGGAGGGGAGAGGTACATTTAAGGTAGATGCGCAACACCCTCTTCACATCAAGTCGATGCCAGGAGCATTCCCTCTCCCTGGATGGTGCCGGATAGAAATCCGGCAGGGCTATCTCCTGTGCCCTGTGGAACGGGGAATTGATCTTGGGTAAGAATGAAAGCCCCAGTTTGAGGACCACCCTGTTCTCATGGAATATGCACAGATCCTCCCTGGAGGACAGTGTATTGATCTCAGAAATGTGCCTGGTGAACGTGATGGCCACCAAGAACACTACCTTCAGGGTGAGGAACTGCAGGCTCACCATCCTTAATGGCTCGAAGGGAGCCCCCGTCAGTGCCTGCAGGACTGTTGGAAGATCCCAACTGGGGAAACGATGGATCACAGGGGGCCTAGGGTTGGCCGCCCTCTGGAGAAACCTTTTAATGATCGGATCCTGTGTTAGGGAACGGGAACCCAACCCCACAAGAACCGTTGCCAATGCCGCAACTTGCCTCTTGAGGGTGTTATGGGAAAGCCCCTTGTCCAGCCCGTCCTGCAGGAACTCCAGCATCTGAGGTAGCGAGGCTTGTGCTGGATCTACCTGCGTGGAACGGCACCAGGACACAAAAGCAGTCCAAGTGGTATCGTAGATCCGGGTAGTGGATTTTCTTCTGGCGGCCTTGATGGTTGTAATGACTCTGGCTGAAAACTGGACCGCCTTCAACTGTTCCCTCTCAAGTGCCAAACGGTCAACTGAAGCCACTGAGGTCCCCTGGCGTAGAGCCACCTTCTCCCGGGGAATCCTCCAGTGGGGGGACATGGACAGATCTATCAGGTCCGTGAACCTAGGCCGATGGGGCCAATAAGGGGCCACCAGAATGACCTCCACCCCCTCCACTACCAACTTCCTGAGGATCCCGGGAATGAGGGGAAGAGGGGGAAAGGCATACAGGAAGCCCTTTGGCCAATGACACCACAGGGCGTTCATGTACTCCGCACCCTGAGCTGGGTACCAGGAACTGAACCTCTGGACCTGTGCATTGGCTGGCATGGTGAACAGATCCATAACTGGCCTGCCAAACCTCTGGCAAATCCTGTCGAAGACTTCGGGAAGCAGTTGCCATTCTCCGTGGTTCACTGCAACTTGGCTGAGCCAGTTGGCTTGCACGTTGTACACCCCCGAGATGTGCTCCGCCCTCAGCAACAGGAGATGACGTTCCGCCCAATTCCCCAACTTTGCAGCCTCGTTCCGAAGGGCCTTCGAGTGGGTGCCCCGCTGCTTACTGACGTGTGCTTTCGCGATGATGTTGTCTGTCAGCACCAGCAGGTGCTTCCCTTCGACCTTCCCCTTGAAATGATGAAAGGCTAGGTGGATTGCCCTGAGCTCCAGCCAGTTAATGTTTTGATGCAAGTCGGAGGCCGACCAATGTCCCTGGACCAGCTGGGAGTTGAGATGCGCCCCCCCCCAACCAAAGAGACTTGCGTCGGTCGTCAACACCAACCTGTCTGGCTCTCTGAATAGAGCCTCTTTGTCCATGGTGGGAGATGTTCACCAGCACAGAGACAGTGCTGGAATGGGAATCTGGAACATCGCGTCGCTGGGACCGTCCCTCTGGTACGAAAGAAGCAACCATGGCGAGCGCTTTGGACGCGTACTTGACCGCATCAAGTGTGGCATCTGCTGAGAACTGGGCAGTCGCAGTGAGCTTTGCGATATTCTGCAAGAGACATACCTCCGTAGCCAGAATCTCTCCTGCATCTGGGTCATAAGATTGGTGATTGTTGCCGCCTGGGGTAGGAAAGGTCGTGGGCTTTGCCCACTGGGATTTGAGAACCTCCATGAACATAGGGGGAGTAGGGATCTCCTCCTTTTCTACTGGGGCTTATGGAATGGCCCCTTTTTGTGCCTGGAGCCGGGGTAGCCCACCAAATCTGCAATGGCCTTAGCCTTGCGCAGAAGGGAACCAAATTAGGAGGGGGGAAATAAACAAGTGAACACGGAAGCCTCTGGTTCTTCATCTTCAGAGAAACCAACCTCCTCTGACCCCCTTCATCTAACAGAGAATCCTCACTAGCTATAGAGGGGGAGCTCTGCCTATGCTCACAAGCAGAAGAAGTTGCGGGTTGGTTTGGATGACCTCCCAGTGTACCACGAGAACTCCTCCTAGAGGATTTAGATTTTTTCTGCATGCCTGTGGCAATACTTTCAGAAATTGCCTGGACAATAATCTGCTGAAACCTCTCTGGAAGCTCAGAAAATGCTGGGAAAGAGTGGGAGGCCCCAAACCCGGCTTTGCCTCAGCAGATTGAGGAGCCAGCCTAGGTCTATCCAGCCCAGCAACAGGCCTGCCGAAAGAATCCCTTTTCTGGGCCCCAGGGTGCTCAGGGGTGATAGAGGGGGACATGGAAACACACCCCCTGGAAGATCCCCAGGATCTAGGGGGTGATTCAGCCATAGGTGTGAGCCCAAGGGGAGAACGGGACCTGGAGGGGGAAGGGCTAATGCAGTCCCTGACTCTTCGAGAGGAAGCCCTGGTGGCAGCTCCCTCATGCCCCCTGAGAGAGCCCCTGCTGTGGCAGACTTAGATGTGGGCCTCTTGCTCTCTGGATGTGGGGGGCCTCTGGAGGTCCACTCACCAGGCTCAGGATCCACAGGGGAATCCGGTGCTGCCTCCCCTGGTCGCCTCGTGGCATCTGCCATTAAGAACAGCTTCCCCCAAAGCCTCAGGTACTCATAGCTCCTCAGATGGCTTGCCAGGCTCTCTGCAGCCCCCTCCGCTCCTCACAGAAGAAAAAGAATGTTGCCAGTGATCCTGAAGGGCCCCGTGCCTCCGTGCATGTAGCCCCAATGCCACCAATCCGTGGCTCGATTTTTGAACGCTGGAAGGAGCAGCTGGAGGTGATTCCCCGATTCACGGGGAGAGTGCCTCTGCACGTGGCCTCTGCAGAGCTCTAATGGCTGTCCTGGCCACATGCATCTTTCCAGAAGCCGGCAGGGATACAAGATGGCGGCCGCCGACCATGCGGCCTGATTCCTCCCGGAGCTCTATCTCAATACCGCCACCCAGAGGCCTGGAGGAGCTCCAGCAGCCCCCGATGGAGGGGAAATGCAGTTCCTCTTCTGATCTCCTGGAGGCCGGCTTCGGAGGCTCCGCAGAGACGGCAAGCAGTCTTTGAGCCTGAGGCGCTCCGGCGAACCCCAGCTATTGCCCAGCGCAGTCACAGTCACTCAGGGAAGACAAGGGAGAAGGTGGGGAAGGCAAGGATGGAAAATTCTCACACCAAATTGAATAGAGTCAGGAGCCAAGAAAAAAGTCTCCTATTAGGCCGAAAGACTGAGATTAACTGGGAGCCAGGAAGTGAGGCAGAGGGGAGTGGCCTCAATTTAACCTCAGTCTCAAGGCAAATAGGGTCTGAGAATATTCCATCAATGACTCCTCCCACAGGATCACCTAGGAGACTGCAGGAGTAGAGCCGGAGAGAAAGGCTTCACAAGCAGTGTCCCTCCTCCCAAGAGATACTGGCTGGAACAAGCAAGCCAANCTCAATTCGCCTCTTCCTGTCGCTGAGAGCACTGAGCTCTTACTAATTCAGCTCACGGGACTTAAGATCTGCCTGCATCCGACCCCCACAAGGGATGGAGGGCAGCAGGGGAATACAGAAGGGCCTTTGGCAATGCTATTGGGGGGGGGGGAACCAGAAGGACCTGGAAGGAGGACGGGGATTGTTTCCTGCCAGAGAGCCAAGAAAGGAAGCCCTGCTTAGGAGGAGGCCCAGGCCAAATCCTATGCCAGCCATCCCAGGGCTAGGTCCTACCTCTGCTGGCGCGAGAGCGGTGGCCAGGGCCTTCTGCTGGGGAGACCAGCAAACTGGTCATGTCTTTATGGCTGGCTTCGTCCTTTTGCTCCGGGCTGGCTGATAGCACAGCAGGAGGGGCACAGCCGTCTTCAGTCTTGCTGGCTGCAGCAAACTTCTCCATCTGCAAAGGGAGAAGATACCCATGGATGCAATGTCCCCCCCCCCCCCGTGGGTCTTCCTCTTTCCTCTGTTCTTGGCAACCGCAAGGCCTCCCACAGGAGGGGAGGGGATGCAGGCGGGTCGCCTCTTTTTGTGTGGCCTCAAACACAACCTTTTGAGCAACCTTGGATGACTCACCTCAGTAATCATCTTGCCCCGGGTCTTGTTCCTCTCCCGATAGGCTGCCCGCTTCTTCTGCTGCTGCAGGACCCGCTCTCGGCACGTGTGGTACTCCAGGGCAAACTCCCGCAGGAGCTGGCAGAAGCTGGTAACCCGCATGTTCTGTGCCGAGGGCGTGTCGTAACCCAGGAACAGGAGAAAGGAGCGGAACCTTGAGAGAGAGAGAGAGAGAGAGAGGGAGGGAGAGGAGGAGGGGGAAGCATGAGCCTCAGTGGTGCAGTGGTTAGAATCCACGACTCCAGGCTACTTTGGCTGATTGCTGGCAGTTCAAGTCTCACCAGCTCAAGGTTGACTCAGCCTTCAGTCCTTCCAAGGTGGGTAAAATGAGGACCCAGATTGTTTACTCTGTAAACTGCTTAGAAATGGCATATAAATCTATTGCTATCCTCTGGTCCAAGGTGGCCCTGCCAGACAGACCGGCCTCTGGCCTTCAACCTTCAAGATAAATTGTAGCTGGCACTGCAGGAATCTGCTCAAATGTGTCCAGCCATCCTCTTCCCTTGGAAGGACCTCCGGGGACCCCGGAAAGTTTGAGTGATGTTGGTCCCAGATGGGGCCCTAACGCCTCCAGGGGGGCTGAAGGATGCTTGGAGCAGCAGAAAAGCAAAAATGCTGCCCTCCCCCTCGGAGAGGAAGACTGCAGCACTCGGGCAGAAAATCCCTCCCTCTCATCCTTCCAGACACTAAATTCCCATCTCATTTTTCAGCTTTCAAGCATGATCAAGGTCTTGTTAAAATAAAGACCCCACCCTTTCTAGAATGAATGTCCCAGGACAGGAAAGGGCCTGCCACACGGGTCCGGCCCCACAAGTGGGAGAAGAGCGGAGGGTGAGGAGCTTTGCCTTCAGCTCCTTCATTCCCTCCCCCTGGCCGATCCTGCCTTTAATGTTAGAGGCCTTGGGGGTCACAACCCAGTGCTGTCATCTTGCCGTGATGTGGCCAATCCAGGGGTCAGTTCTGCTTAAAAGAAGCTCAGCCTTCACCCGGTTGCCTGTGACCATTTCTCTTGAGGGAAATTGCATCTGACGCTAAGTGGAACACTGCCCTGTTTATGGCCATGCACCCGAGACGGCCTTCTTGACGGGCGAGAGGGGTCCGGCCATTACTCAGCCGGCAGCAGTCAGACCATCTGGAGCCACTGACCTGTTCAACACCCGCCGGTGGACGATCTTAAGGAGACTCATCTTCTCTGTGCTGGCCTTCAGGAAGTCCACCAGCTTGCTTTTCAGGGCTGGCTTGCAATCGTGTTTTGCAATGGCCTTCAGGTGCTCCCAGGAGGCTTTGCACCGCCGTTCCAGCTGCAGGAGACTTTCTGCCAGCTCCTCAAAATCCACCTGAGGAGATAATACGAGAGCTGTCAATGTGTCGCCCTGTGGGATTTGGGCTGGATACCCAAACTCAGCCTTCCAGGTGCAAAGGAGGGAAGGAGAGCCCCCTCACCTTGGCACAGCGAGTGAGGGCAGCGATCTCCGAGTAGAGGTCTGTCGTGGCTGGGAACGCCACTACCACAAATTGGCACAGGTGGTGCAGGAGGCTCTGCCGGTGGACGGTGTCTTTTACCTCCGACACTTTGGCCAGGTAGCTGAGCTCAAACCCTCGACTCTGAAATGTAGAACCTTGTAAGTGCCAGGAAGAGAGGAGGTTCTTTCCTCCTGTGGGGGAGGAGAAGCCGGTCCAGAGACCGTCAACAAAAAGTGGATGTTCTGTCCTGGGGGGCCCTAAGGTGGCCCTATTTAGATCCTGGACATCTTAAAAGGACCTTTTAAAGGGCTCTAAGGAGCAGGCGGCAGGAGGGGCATCTGGGCAGGCTTTGGCCTACGTCCCATCTGAGAAACCAGCAGGAGAAAAGACGGGAAAAGCTGTGCCTTGGTCACTTCAGATACATCCTGATCCAATGCCTTGGCCTTGGGCAGGGCCAGCTGCCGCATCCAACACCTTCGGCTTGGCGCCCTGCTGGCGCCCTGCCATCAATCGGAGAAGGGGGGGGGACAAACGGGCAATAAAGCTGTATACCTTTATGATGGGAGATCGGGAGAGGGAATGGACGTGTGAGGAAGAGCAGAGCAGTTTGGAATCCGGTTCATGCTAGTGCTGACATCCTCAAAGCTGTATACCCTGAGAGTGGAATTTTACCAGCACAAGTAGCTCAGCGTTTCCCAAAACATCTCAGCGGTGCCGGATTGGCTACATGTGGGTGGGTCATGTGGGGAAGGGCTAGGGGAAGCTAGGGAGTCAGATTTTAGATTCCGCTTGACTTTACTGCAATCGGTGTCTCTTAGTAAAAGTTCCTTTCACTTCAGCGGAGTCAAGAGTTTTACTTTCGTAGGAGATCAGACTGGGGCAGGTCTGACACCAGGCGTGAGTCTTTCCTAAAAGGCAGCCATGCCATGCTTCACCTGAGAGCCATTCAGGAGGTTGCCCATGGCTAGAAGGGTGGCCAGAATACATCTGAAGGTCTGGTTCTTGGCTAGTTGCTCCATGCCCAACTTCAGATCAAACAGGGGCTCTACAATTTCCTGAAGAGAAGAAAATAAAGAAGGTTCCGCTCAGAGTTGTCTGAACCTCAGGATGGGCAGCAAATAAATTTGATCAATAAAATAAATTCCTCCCGGAATGGGAAACACTGAAAAGGGAAGGAGTGGGAAGATTCAGAAGAGAACCATCTGGTCAGACACTCAAGGCCTGGAGTGACATCCCTGTCTCTAAACCTACCAATTACGGCAGACAGCAATGCCACCCGAGTGCCTCATATTAATAGGGATGCTCGGTTGCCAGATTGACACCTGGACTTGCCCTTCCTTGTTAACCAGCAGATTCTTCACCCAAGCGAGCAGGGAGGGTCGCCCTGAAGTCACCCCTTTCCTCCTGGTCAATCCAGGTCTTGCACAAAGTACCTTCTCCAGGGCTTCATAGTCCAGCTTGAAAGCCCACAACTGCAGGCGAGCCGGGAGCTCTGTGATGGAGGAGAGTGTGAGAAGGAATTGCTCGGCTGACCCCAGAGGGAGATTCGGATTTGCCAGTTGGGCCTCCTGGATCTTCTGCTTCTCCTCCTCTGTGGGAACCATTGTCAATATTTTCTGTTAAACAAGAAAGTCAGAGGGACTAAAAACCTCCTTCAGTTCCATCAGAAGCTCCTGATGTTTTCCTGCCTAGGAAGCTTTCTGAAGCACTGAGGAGCCCCAGGAAATCCCTTCTCACCTCAATCCCTTCCTTATTGATTGCAAACTCATCAAAGTTGAGAATGGCCGTCTTGATGACATGGATGGGAGGCAACACCGTCAAGCCAATATTGATGGCGTTGCTCCTCTTGGGATCCAGGATCACAATCAGCTTCCTTCCATCCACAGCTTTCTAAAAGGGGAACAGCAGGATTGGGACAGAATAAACATGGGATATTTGCTTTGATAAGTCTCCTGTGAGAAAGAGAACCCAGATACATTTTTGCAAACTCCACCATTCTAAGCCAAGAAACGCAGAGGCCCCTGAGGATGCGGAGCTGAGCCCAGGACAAGCGAGGCCCTGAAGTCTAAAAACATCTCCCAGGATGAGGCACAAGTCACCTTCTGCTACGGCTGCTCTACTTCTTTATGGCCCACCATTTATGTCCAAAGGCCTGGAGCAAGAGAAAGAAACCTTTCCACGGCCTGACCTAAACAAGGACCAGCCAGATCCAAACAGGTTGGTCTACCAGCAGCTCCAAAGCTCAGCGCCCCAAAGATCTGCAAATATCTCTACACAGAAGCCCTGCGGGCAGGGAGCCCATGGACTGGTGGGAAGCTGTTGTGCCAGACAGGGAAGGATGGTGGGGGAGAGCAGTTTCTTTTGCTCTTGCATTTTGAGCCCATGGAATGGCCATAGGAGAGGTTGAAGAGGAGAAGCAGCCCACATCTCCAAGCTGGGAAGTGATGTCAGGACAGCTGCTGTTCTCAAGTTTCTGCCTTAGCCCCAGTACTCTTCAACGTTTTCACAAATGATCTAGATTAGGGGAGGAGAGATGAATTCACCCAATTTGCAGACAGCACCAAGCTAGGGGGAATAGTCAACTCTTTAAAATATAGCATTGGGCACTATCCCACAAGATAAGTCTAGTCTAACAAAGAGAAAGATTGCGGCAACATGGTCTAGTCCTCTAATATTTGAGGGACTGGCACAGAGAAGAGGAGGTCAACCTATTTTCCAAAGTACCAGAAGGCAAGACAATGATCAAAAAGAGATGCAACCTAGAACTAAGGAGAGATTTCTGGACAGTGAGAGCACTTGATCAGTGAAACAAGTTGCCTCCAGAAGTTGTGGGTGCTGCATCACTGGAGGCTTTCACGAAGAGATTGGACAACCATTTGTCCAAAAGGGTATGGGATCTCCTGCTTGAGCAGGGGGTTGGGCTGGAAGACCTCCAAGGTCCCTTCCAACTGTTATTTTATGTTCTGTGTTCTCCTCCAGCCAGAGAAGAGCTTTGATATGCCGAACTGCAGCCTCATGCAGCAACTTACCTTGGAGCTTGGAGCCTCCTTTGCCCTGGACTCAAAGAGATGCTCCAGCTTAGTGGAGTCAACCTCGACCTTCTCCAGGGATGCCCACAGAGTGGCCTGCCCAAACCGACTTTCCCGGGCAGGGCCATCTATGTCTTTCAGCTCCCTCCAGAAGAGCTTGAGAGTCTTCTTTTTCTTGGCAGGGGAGCTGGCTTCTCCCCCAAGAAGGGGGCTGCTGAATGGAGGGGGAGGAGGGGGACCAGGTATGCCAGCTGGGGGGGGCGGAGGAGCCGGAGGTGGTGGAGCACAACCGGGAATTGGAGGAGGAGCCAGGTCCTCACCTGCCCCCAAAGCCATGTGGGGCAAGGCCATCTTGGCCACCTTTGCTTCCTGTGCGTCAAAATCTTCCTCCTCACACAGGTCTGAGAAGTCCAGATCCTGGATCTTCAGAGGCTGAGAACCAGGCATCCATGGGCCTCCCCTTCCCTGGGCCCTGTCCAGACTCTTCAGACTGGTCTCCGCTTCAACGCTGAACTGGCTTTTCAAGGGAAGGGCCCAAGATTTTGTCTGCTGCCCCATCCTCTCCTGGTTCTCCTCTTCCCGAGGCCCAATCTTCTCTGTCTCTTCCATGCAGTGATCTGTGAGCAGCATCCTCTCCGTGCCTGGTGGGCTCTTATTAGCAAACAGCATGTTGAGCATCTGTTTTCTCTTCGCAGAAGCATTGCTACTCTCAAGAGCCCCATTGATGCCACCTGGGGCACATTCTGGGTCTGGGCCCAAGATGCAGGTGGTGTCAATGAGGTGGCTTAGAGAGGCATCTTTGGGGGACACATTCTCCCTGCCCTCCTCGTGCTCCAAACCAGGCTCTGAGCTGGGCCCTTTCCAGTTGGTGCTTCCGTTTTGTCCTTCGCTCCACCGCCCTGTGGCAGAAAGGGGCACTTAAAGGGGGAAAGGCCAAGTAGAAGAGAACGAAACCAAGGAAGGGACAAGCTGTGCCACAAAGGGGCTCCCCCTGCACCCCACCAGGCTACCTGGAGCCACTTGCTCAGTGCTCGAAACAGCTTCAGCAAGAACATCTGCGCGTCCACGGGTGATGGCAGTGATCTTCTCTTTCTGAGAGGCAGCCAGGTTTTCCAAAAAACGGGCTCTGCAAGAGAAGAGGACACTCCATACCACTGCACTGGGCACACCATCCATCAGCATTGTGTCCAGCGGACAGGGCCAACCATGAGCTCTCTTCCTAGGCACACATGCAGTCACCGAGCGAGAGACAGCCAACCCTGCCAGCCCCTCCTCTTGGTTTTCTATGAAAATTTACAAGGCTTGCATGGACAAAGGAACACCCTCCAAAGGCAGATGTTGCAAAACAGGAGCTTGCTTTGAGGAGCAAGGCTCCCCTGTTTTTCCAAATGATGACCATTGCTGGGCATTTCTGGAACTCAAAGGCCAAGCCAAGGCCAACCTATTCCCTAAGACAAAGGAATCTCTCTCCTGGAGCCGCTTATACTAAGACAGGTTTAAAGAAAGTCTGTGACCCCTGGAGTTACGCCACAGCATCAAAAGAGCCCTCTGCTGGGACGGGATCATCACCCAGCACTTCAGAGACCTCTGGGTATCTTGGAGGAGGGGAATTGGTCCAGGGAAAAAGCAAGAATAGGTTTGAAAATGTTGCAAGACTCCCAAAAAAGAGGGGACTTTGGGCTGCCAGATTTGGAATTGTACTGCCAGGCCTCGGTACTCACATGGGTGAAAGAATGGATCAGTTTGAGGCATAAAAGACGGACACAACTTTCAACTAGATTGGAATGCTTTTTTATAGTATGGGAAGAATAAGATACATAGCTACTTTCAAAGATGTTAGAAATGCACTGTTATCAGTATGGCTTAAAATTAAAGAACAACACTACTTGACAAAACCAGCCTAGCTTTCCACAATGGAAGCATTGATACATCCAAATGTTATTAACATGGAAAAAATTGTAAGATATAAAGATATTTTGAGTGAAAAAGGAGAATTAAAAACCAAGCAGGAACTTAGTAATCAAGGGATGGACATCGCATGGTAGCCACAAATTCAGATGCAATCTCAATATGAGAAAGATGCTAAAATAGTTTCAATAAAGAGTTAACAGAATTGGACCAGATATTAATTGGAACAGATAAAAAACTGATAAAGAAAATATGTTGTTACTTATTAGGTATTAAACTGAAAGTGAGCAGGTAAAGGAGGCAATGATTGTTTGGGTTAAAAAATTTGGATATGCAACAGAACTAGACAAATGCCATAAATTGTGGGATAGAAATGTTAAATTGACTATGTCAATTGCATAAAAAAAATTGTATAAAATGTTCTATAGATGGCATTTTGTACCAACAAGACTGGCAAAAATGTATAAGGATAGATCCACTAAATGTTGGAAGTGCAATCAAGCACCTGGTTCATATTACCATATTACCAAAATCCAAAATATACTGGACAAAAATACATACTTGGTTGGGAAAAAATGATAAAACAGCATATAGACATGAAACCAGAAATATTTTTATTGGGCATTCTGCTGGAAAAGTATAATAAAAGGACTATATATTTGATTTTACATTTATTAACTGCAGCTAGAATTGTATATGCTCAACAATGGAAGCGTGACGAGATCCTGACAGATGAGAGTGTAATTAAGAAAATATTAGAATATGCAGAAATGGATAGATTAATGCTTACTATTAAGGACAAAGAAGAAACTGAATACTTTTTGACATGGGACTTATTTTACCAATGGTTAGACAATAAAAAGAGAAATTAGAAATGCAGGGACATAAAAAGGATAAATGTTAAATGGAAATTTGATAAAATAGACTTGCTAAATATTATTGTTATTATAGTATCAATAATGTTATTGTGATGAATGTTATTGTAAGCATTTTGATTAGAATTGCCTAAAAGCAACGGTACCCAGACAACACATGGAATTTTTACATTATTCAAATAAAATAAATAAACATTTTTTTTTTAAAAGGACATGAATGAGAGAGTCAAGGAGACCTCAAAGTTGGCCCAGGGTACAAAGCAGAGTGGGCGGGTAACTCTGCAGGCAGCACCATCTTGATTTTCTGTTCTGCACATGTACAGAACAATCTTCATTTTAAAAATGTAATTTTTATTCATTTTTTAATGTTGTGCACATGTGCAGATTGTTTAAATGAAAATGTGCACGTCCATGGAGCAATTTTTTTTTACTACTGAACTGTTGGTAATGGTGTCCGGAACCCATCCCTGGTTCCAAAAGATCCAAACAGGCTTGAGTAGGGTGAAACGGATAGGATGGAATGTCATGGGAAAAATATAAAATCCTCCCAAGATCAGGAGAGACCTGCCTTGAGAGAAATACAGCTAAAGGGGCTCTGGGTGTCTCTGGTGAGCCCAAGTCAAGCAGAGGCCAGCAGCACCTTGTAGCTGCGAAGGAGCCAAGCGCCACCTAGGGATCATGATCAGGAGTGCTGTGCCCAGATTTCCCGAAGTCCTATGTCCAGTTGTGGACATAAGGACAATGACTTGCAAAGTGAGCCCAGAAGAGGCCACCATGATGCTTTCAAGTCCCAGGAAGACCGTAGGAAGGATATTGCTACTTTGAACTGTAGAGAAGACAGCAGGGAGGAGCTACCGTGTTTCCCCCAAGATAAAGAAAGGGTCTTATTTTCTTTTGATCACTGAATTAAGTGCTTGACCTTATTTTCGGGGAGGTCTTATTATTTTTGAGGTTCAGGAGGCGGCAAGCATGGTCACCTCGTGGCTGCTGCTGTGTTACAATATTTTCGAAGAGGGCTTGTTTTAGTGTTCAAAAGCCCGATTGGCCTTATTATCCAGGGAGGGCTTATTTTCAGGATAAGAGGGTAGTAGGAGAGGAGAATATGTTTGTGGCACCAAAGGGAGAGTGGATGTATTTTCTCTTGCCCCAGAGGACAGGACCAGAGCGGTGGGGTGAAAGCTGTGGGGAATGAGGTCCATCCGGGACATCAGGAGAACTGCCTGAATTCACAAGTTGTCTGGCAGTGGAACAGACGGCCACATGAAATGGTCTGGCTCTCCTGGGACATTCGTTTTCAGACAAAGGCCAGGTGGCCATCTGTCAAAGTTGCTGCAGTATAGTTTGCATTCAGCTGGGGACTGGACTGGATAACGTTTATAGTCCCTTATAATTTTATGATAATATGAAAACACATAGAAGAACTCAGCTGGCCTCAATACAATGAACCTTACCCATAAAGGTTAGCAGTAACAATTAAGCTGTAAGTGAAGATACAGGAAAGAGTATCAAGGAGGAGAGGAGCATTATGCACCAGCCTGGCCCCGAAAACTACGTAACAGCAGTCCAGATCCCAAATAAATTGCAACGGTGGGCCTCAGAATCAGATCAAACGTTTCCATTTTATGCCCATCTGTGTCTTATCAGGCCATCCTGCCTAAGCAAGCACTGGTTGACCAGTGACCTCCCACCTGGCTGGCCAGTGGCCCCTTTGCACAGCCCTCTGCGCAAAGGCCATCTGGCCCAAACGGTTTTGGCTTCCAGCTCTTGCTGCCAGCTGGACGGAAGCCTCTTTTCTAGGCAGGCCTCAAGCCAGCCTCAAGACAAGTGGCAGGAAGTGCCAGATCTCCCAGGAGCCTCTTTCTACATACTATGGGAGGGGACGGGGGACGGGGGTGTCAGGCTGGCAGGTGGCAGCATTAACAAAATGTGAGCTGGAAATGGATCCCAGCCAAGCCCCTCCCCCTGGACCCAGAACCAGGCAGGGGAGAGGAGCCTCCGTCTCCATCCAGAGTCTCAGCCTGGCCAGGGGTGCACAGGCCACTCCGTACTTACTCAAAGTGCCTCAGAATGGGCTTGTCCCCACATACCGGGGGGGCTTCCTCTCCCCTGGGAGAAAAAGGTAGTTAGTGCCAGTGGGTCTCCACACTATGCTGCAAGCTCGGCCAAGCCAGCCCCAAAGGCAAGAAACATGCAGGGGGGAGGGGCTTTCTGGAAGGTACCACAGTCCCCATGGCCATCATGCCAAGGAACCCACCGCTTGGGCCCTGCAACAACGGCAGCCCAAAGCAGGATTGGAGGTCTTCCCGGACAAAAGCTGAGGCAGAGCCCCCTTGTGGAACGGAGGGGACATCGGGACCCCCTTCCCATCTGATTCTGAGGGGCGGAAGCCGATGGCCCCGAGACACCAGCCCAGCCAAGCAGTTGCCTCGGGCTCCTGGCAGCCAGAGAGCAGCTGAGCAACAAGCATCCCCAAAGCCCAACCAGGGAATTTCTTGCCAATTCCTGGCACTGCTGGCAGGGAGGGTGGCCCCCTACCGCCCCCCACACCACTCTGCTTCTCAAGCAGAGGCAGCCATGACACGCAAGCCCTCCCTGACTGACACCACTGCACACCACACACAGGCCGTCACTTACCACACAGGGGCTGTTTGGTGAAGCCTGGAAGAGGAAATAGCACTTAAGCCGGGCAGGTGCTGGAGAGAGCGAAAGAGCTGAGAAGCTCAGAGCAGCTAGAAAGAGAACAGAAACACCCCCCCCCCTCGGCCACCTGCTTCTCATCCCACCCTGAAGGTCCTGGGCACACAGCTCTCCAGCCAACCCAGAGAAGAGGGAAGCAGCCCAAGAGAAGCAGAGCGATGCCTGGGAAGGAGGGGGGCAACTCTGGGGCCGCCTCTGCATCACACGCCATCCTCCCCGACCCTGGGAGCCTTGTCCCTTCTCCTTCCCCAAGGAGCAGAAAGGGCCTGCGGTGGCCCTGGGGGCCTCAACAGATTAGCCACCGGGGGCCATGCTCTGCCAGCTGCACAAGCGGAGCCTCTCCTTCTCCCACCTGGGGCTCTGCCACCAACCTGCAGCTGGAGGCCAAGGCTGCCACAGCACTACCTGCTTGAGAAGAGGGAGCCCAGGCAGAGAGGCGCACCCTGAACCTTCCATCTGCTGGCAAGGACTAATTGCAGAGAGGGGTCCCTGCCCAGGAAAGACCCAGAAAGGAGGCTCTGGGCAAACCTCCCACACCCACAAGCTCCCCTCCCCCCGAGGCTTCCTCCACAGGCCTCTTGGCCGCCCAGCCAGGACCTACTTGAAAACGCTCCTCTCGCCCAGGCCAGCCAGCGGCTCCCCCTCCACGGGGGCCGGCATCGCAGAGAGTTGCATGCAGGAGGTGCTGCTGTACGAGCCCTTGGAGCTGGGCCTAGAAGGGAGAGGGGGGGAGAGCTGCAGCTGATTGGCCCCTGGCTTTGTGGGTCCCCAACAAGAGCCAGATCAGGGGTACTACCGGCCAGCATGGCAGCCTGAGGAGGACATATGGGAGGGGAGTCCAGTGGCCAAGGCAGATGGAGTGGGGCCCCCATCCATGCCCCACGCCCCACTCACAGCTGCTCGCAGCTCTCTCCCTCCAGGCCCAGCGTCTGCGGAGCAGCAGCAGCAGCAGCAGCAGGGACTTCTCTGTTCTCCTCCTGGGCCACAGCATTGGGGAAAGAGCGCCGGGCCCCCTGCCGGCACTCATCCCCTCTCCGCCGCTCCTTGGCTCGGGTGGCCAGCAGAGGCTCTTCTGCCCCGTCCTCCTCCTTCAGGGAATTCTGCAGATCAGAGAGACGATCAGCTAGCAAGCAGCAGGTGGCCAGGGGCAATTCCGGCCGAGGGCTTCCCTCCGTGCGCCCCCACCTCATAGAGGGAAAGTTGTTGCCTCAGGTCCGGGTCCGTGCCCTTGCTGGCCAGGTGTGCCTGGACAAGCCGCTCCATGCCCTGCTGCTCCAGACAATCTGTCACGTCGTAGAAGGAGTCCTGGTCAGGGAGGGCAGCCAACGTCTGCAAGCCCCAACAGGACACAACCATTAGCCGGGTACAACCATTAGCCCACCCTGGGAGGAGCCCCCTGCCCGCCCTGCCCCCCCTCACCTTGTTGATGAGTGTCATTGCAAAGACCTGCAGTTCAGTATCCGCCCCGCTCTTCTGCTCCAGGATGGCCACAAGGGGAGACCACGGAAAGCCCCCTGGAAGGAAGCAAGTAAGGAACAGAGGAAGAACACACACACACCCAGTCCGGTTGCTCCCATCGCCACTTAAGGCGGAACATCTTCAGTTCCAAGAGACGTGCCAAGACCCTCTTCTTTCTCCTGCCCAATCTCAGCCTGCACCTCGCGGTCCTTGGAGGCCACCAAAAATGGTTTGCTTGATGAGACTAGAAGGTGGCCCTTTCCAAGGAGAAACCAGGAAGCCCCAGGCTCAACTCGGCTCAGCCACCCGCTCACCTCTGACCTGCTCCACAGTCCCCACCGCCTGGATCAGCCGCTGGGCATTGGACTCGGTGAACTCCACGAAGACCAGGAGAAGCTTCAGGGCTGTCTTCACCACCAGGCGATACTAGGGGAAGGCGAGGGAAACCCCATGTGCCAAACGATCCGGCCTCCTCTGGCAAACGGCCAAACGAGGGCTGTAGAGATGGGCACCTTCAAGCGTGCCAACCACGCCCATGGCTGGGCTGAGCAGGAAGGCTACACGCCCAGCTCTCCAAGCAGGTGAAGAGACCTTTCCCTGAGGCCTTCTCAGAGCTCACTCCTCTGCGCCTCCTCTCCCAACTGCCCTGGGGGCTGGGATCCTGCCTGGTCGCTCTGAAGGCCCAAGGCCCGACTGATCCTGAGGGCCCCCAGGGATGCTCTTGGCAGAGGGGAGACGTCCTCTGAGGGGCCGGCCAAAGGGCCCAAACATGGACGGGCAGTGCTCTTGGCTCTCCAGCCGCTCAGACAGCAGGCAGGACGGGTTGAGCTGCCCTGATTTCTTTGCCCTCTTCACCTCCCAGAGGTGCTGGGGGGGGGGGAATCACACAAGGAGGAGATATAGAGGGAAGGATCGGAAGCCAGGTGCAAAGAAGGACATTCACGAGACAGGTAAGGACAACCCGAACATCCTCGGCCGGCATCTTCACTCACCAGGCTGCCCGTCAGGGTGTAGAGCCACTGCACCGTCTCTGGGTGCTGGATCACCCCCATCATTCCATCCACAAACAGCATGATCTGGCTGAGAGCTGCAGGGTGGGGGGAGAAGAGCGGTCCTGTGGAGCTCCAGCGGCATTTGGGGGAGGGGGGCAGGAGGGGGTGGACCAGGCTGCTCAACGGCTGGGCATTGCCTGCTGGAGGGGGGGGAAGAACCCCTGGGGCAAGATGGCACCTCGCACACTTGGGGACCACGGGAGGGGGGACGGATTGGACAGCCCCCTCCCCCCACTGCTCAATCAGGAACCTAAAGTCTACTTTGGATCTTCCTGCTTTGTTACTGCACCCCAAAGAGGGGGGCACACGCCCAGGAAACACTGAAAGCCGCAAAGAGCCAGCAGCCTTTCTCAGAAAGGGAGGCAGAACTAGCAGCGGGTCCTCCCGACTGGATTGAGGCTCTCCCCCCCCCCCCAACTCTTAAGTTGTTCATTCAGTTCTCCACCAGGGACAACCAAGAGACATTGCTGGAAGAGAACTTTAGCCGGGATCCTGCCTCCCCCCGCCCCTCTATGAAAGGCAGAAGAGGGAGGGATGCCTGGGGCATGTAAGGAAGCACCCCCTCTCCTCCCTGGCCTGCCCCCCACCCCCGGACCAGTTCAGCTGCTCAGTTGGACTCACCCCTCAAGATGTAGTTCTGGTAGTTCTGGTCAGCTTCAGCTCCCACTGAGATGAGACACGTCAGCCCTTCGGAGTTGACAAACTCGGGCACCAGGTCTTTGTCATCCTGCAGCCGATACACGGAGCCTGAGAGATTCCCCTGAGGCATCCAGAAGCCCTCCCCTCCATTGGGCTGAGCTGCCCCATCCCTTGGCGTCTCCCGCTAAGGCCCCAGCCAGGCAGGGATGCTGGCAGGGCCAGCCGGGTGGCAGAGCCTCACCTGGAAAAGCTGCTTGAGGGAGAAGAGGGAACGCCTCAGCTCCGGACCCTTGGAACAGTACAGTTTCTCTGGAGGAGAGAAAGGGCTCAGCCTCCGGAATGGGGCTTCACACACACACACACACACACACACACACAGAGTTGCAGGGATCCCGGACCAGGGGGACAGGCGGGGGAGGCTTTTCACGGCCTTCCTCTGAAGAGTCAGCATTTCCTCCAGCAGGAGAGCCCGCTGGTCTTTGGGGGGTTCCCCAGGGCTGCCCCTTGGAACTACAAGGAGGCCTGGGGCAAAAGCTAGAGCGAACTTTAGGCTAACAGAGACCCAGCCAACACAATTCCCTTTGGTGCCCTGTGGAGACTTGGGGGCCTCGGTTTCCACCCCAAGACAAGCCAACCAAGACCCAGGTTCCCTTGTTTGCGTCTGGAGGATTTGGAAGCTGCTCCTTCAGGGCTGTTCTTCCTTGGGGGTAACGTGGGTCAAGGAGGTTATGAAAGAGGGATTTGGTCACTTCCTTGAACAGAAGCCCTTGCAATCATCGGCCCAAAGATAAGCCACCATTTCCCCTTTAAAAGGCAAAGAGGCAGAGGAGTCTTTGACTTGCGACCACAACTGGGCCCAGAATGTGCACCCCATTTTATGATCCAGCCCCCCTCACTGGCTCCGGCTTGCCAGAAGCCTCCTGGGGAGATTGTAAGCGAGGACCTCGTAACCCCAGGACATGACCATGGCCATGAAGTGCAGCTACATGAGGGGGCATTAGTGCCTGGGGTCTGTTATGCTGAGATCGTGGGTGAAGCATGATGGGCCCGGGATCCCCCACTGCCCCAGAATTAAGGGACAGCAGAACCACTGGAGGGCTTAGGGCAAGCAGTTACAGTGGGAGAGGAGGAAACAGCCCCTCAGGCCCAGCTGCTCTCGGGAGGACCTCTGGGTGTTGTTCTGAACCAACCCCTCACCACCCCCCAAACTCCAGGACTTGGAGCAGGAATCAGATCTAGAAGCCTCCATTTACTTTTGGGATTTCAGGCCTGCCACACTTTCTACTGTGGGGGGGGGGGATTATGCAGAGTATGGGTGATGTGCAGCCATAATAACATTCTTTCACAGAAAGTCAAGGTCGCTTTATCCCTGCACCTGGACGGATGTTGATGGGAGGAATCTTTCTTCATGGCAATGAAGGATTGGACCATGTGATGAGTTTGAGGATGTTGGGGTAGAGGCTGAACTTTCAACTGGGTGGGAAAACCTGGAAGCTTTCAGATTCGGGTTTCCCCAGGTGTGCCAATATGACCTCTCTAATAAAATGGACTTTGAGAAAACTCAAGCCTCGGGTGTTACTTGGAGCCCTGACAGGAGGCAGGAAGGCCTGGCATCCCAACCAACAAGATCCATCCTTGACTTCATGCAAGATATAAACCAGGATGAAATTCAGCAGGTTTTGACAGGTTCTGGAGAACCGGTAGTGGAAATTTTGAATAGTTCGGAGAACCGGCAAATGCCACCTCTGGCTGGCCCCAGGAGTGGGGAGGGAATGGGGATTTTGCCGTATCCTTCCCCTGCCCCACCCACCAAGCCCCGCCCACCAAGCCCCATCCATAGAACCGGTGAATTTCACCATTGGTACAAACCAATTCTTAAGGCTTCTTCAACCAATCACAGAACCTGCCTACCTCACACAAGGCTCCAGACTGCTCACAGTAATACACAAAACACAAATTAAAACCAACCCTTCCCCACTCAGGTGCCAGACCAAGCAGCACCCCCTGCAGCTCAACCCCCTCCAGGCTCACTATGGGTGGGAAGAGTCAGGTCTTCGCAGCCCCCTGGAAGGCTGGGGGGGGTCAATTCTCCAGTGACAGGCTGCTCCAAAGGGCTCAGCTGGCCACAGGACGTCAGATTCCTGGGGGGCAACATTTATGGGAGGGGGCCTGGAGCATGCCCAGCCAGGGGGGGCAGGTGGGTACCCTCAGGGAGAGGCAACAGCTGCTGCGGGCCAGGTGGGGCTTCAAAGGTGACAACCAGCATCTTGAGAAGCAGTCTGGAGAGCAACTGGGGATTGGTGCAGCTCAGGCTGCAGGACGGTTTCTGGGTGTGGGAGGACTGGGTGCTGCCACTGGGCCAGCTGCAGCTTCAGGATGGCCTCCAAGGGCAACTCCACCACAGCCATGATGCAGTAACCCAAACAGGAGATGACTCAGCACAAACAACCGGATGCGCCTTCTGGGCAGGGGGGAGGGGAGACGCTGTAACTCCCTTTCCCTGCCGGGCGAGGAGAGGTCCATCATGGGACCATTTCTCTCCTGGAAACTCAAGAGCCAAACTGGGCTGCAAAAGACGAGCAGAAAATAGCTCAAATGCCAGCCCTGCTTTGATCCTCACAATCTCGTGTTGTCACCCACCCAGTGGGGTCTGAGGAGATGTGTGGTCCCCTTTGAGCAGGAAAAGCTCCTGCCTGTCCCTTGGCCTCAGCGGTCGAGTCCTGGCCTTGCACAAGCACAGCGGCCCAGGTGAAGCCCTTCCAGGTGCAGGAGGGGCCGAGATGTGGGAGGGAGGAAGGGCAGCACCCCCTCAAGGATCACCTCGCCCCCCAAAAGCTTTGGGCAGCTCTGCAGGACTCCGGAGATCCCTCGACAGACAGACAGCTTGGCTCCATTCACCCAAAGCAGACCCCAAAGGACATGGGGGGTGCAGCACAGCTGGGCCCGGAGCCCCATCCTCAGCTGAAGGGTCCCAAAAGGGGTCACCGAGTGGATTTCCCCTCCCTGGAGCAGTGCCCGCACGCCACGTGTGAATTGATTGTGGCCCCCAAGGAGCTGCTTTTGAGGGACTCCTGGCCAAAGGAGGATGGCCGAGCCAGCCTCTCCTGGCGCCTTTTCTGGCTTGGCCTCTCCAGAAGGGCCCCCGGACCAGGCCACTGAAGGCAGGAGATGCCAGAAGGCCTGTGGGGCTCCCCCCTCACCACAGGCCCCAAAGGCAGACCACTCTGCCACCCTTTGACCCACGGCAACACACACACCCCAGCCACGGACCCCCCAGCACCACCTCGAAGCCGAGGAATTAAAAGACTGGCAAGGAGGAGCTAAGGACAAAGGCCCAAAGAGAAGCAGCCCAGCTGCCCCTTCGCTCGCCTCAATGCGCGCACAACACGCACACCCACCTCTTCCAGAGTGGCTCTCCAGGGGGGGTGCCCTGGCTGGCTCAAGGGGCTGGGGGGTCTGGAAGGACTGCAGTTGGGCAGGGGCAGCATAAACCGTCTTGAAGGAATTACACACACACACACACACAAAATCACACACACACACAGAATTGCAGCTTTTATGAGCTAAGATTCTTTCTATCAAGGTTTGAAGACAAAGAATCCAGCATTTTGCTGCCATTAAATCCCAAAATTTGCAGTGGGCTCCCCACTTTTCTTCTCCTTCCCACAGCCCCCTTTCCCCACAGTGACTCGTGTCCCGAATTCACGAATGCTCACAGAAAGGGCTTGCCAGTGGGGCAGCTCTCCAGGGAGCACAGGGCCCAGCCGCTCTGCTCCCTTTGGCCCTCTGGGACCAGCCTGCCCAGAGTGCAGAGCGAGAGTGGGGCTCCACTTGGGGGCCCAGGGCTGAGAATGGCTCCTCTGGGTAGGGGGAAGCAGCCCATTCTGCTTCTCTTCTTCCCTGGAGGTGATTCGTTTTCCCCATTTAAATTCTGCTTCCTTCTTCAAATGTGGCTCCAGATAACACATTCTGCAGCTAATAAGCTAAAAATAGCCCCAGCTGCCCAGCGCTGAGAGATTTGCCAGTGGCCACTGCCTTGATGCTTCCCGGCCAGTGGGCACCAAGCCTTCCGTGGCATGGGGGGGGGGGGCTCCTCCCAGTCCAGACTGCAGAACCCCAAATCTCCCCCAGTTGCTTGAGCAAGTCCTCCCAATTGTGGGGGTCAGCTCAGGAAGTCCCCTTGTGTGGCTTCCTTTCCTCCCTGTGCTGGGCCATCAGGTCTCCTGCTGGAACCAGCAGGGCTGGGGTCGTTCTCAGAATGCAGGGCTGACCCTCACCATTTCTGCTGCTCTGTGCTCTCAGCAGTTTCCTCTTTCTTAGGAAATTGACAGGAAGTTGCCATGTGGGTCCAGGGCCCCATAGGAGCCCTCCGTGGGGCAGGGATGTGGCTCTGCTGACAGCTGCACTGTGGTGAGAAGACCCCCCACCCCTTTTCAAGGACAGAAATCGCAGGGCAAACCCAGAACAAGAGCTGAACTTGGAAGGGGTCCGAAGCAGCAGGAAGACGGCTTCCCTTTCATCAAGCATTTATGGATGAAACCATAGAATAACAACACAGACTTAAAAGGAAGAAAAAGCCACCCCAATCATCAATCTGCCCATCCCAGGCGCTCCGTCACAAAATCCAGCCCCTAAACCTACTAACACAGCAGGACCTCAAGACCCGCAATGCTAATCCCAGGGATCTTCCAAACAGAGGCCCATCCCCAAAACAGCTCTCTTCCTGGGCCCCGTGGAGGGTCCAAAGGGGACCCCAGCGTGCCTCTCCTGGCAGATCTGGTGGGTGGACAGACACAATCCAGGAGAGGCATCCTCCCACTGCAGCTGCATGTGGAGAAAGGCTCTATGGTCATTACCAGGCCTGGAACTAACCCAGAGGCCCACCAGCCAGAGATTCAGCTGGCAGAGGAGAGGGGGAGGATGGCTCTGAGCTGCCCAAGAGAAAGCTGCGCAGAAGCCCCCCCCCTCCCCCCCTGGCCACGGCCGCCACCCATTCCTCAAGCGAGAGCCACAATCCCGGGAGGAGTCTCAGGTTGCTCTCTGCACCTGTTCAGGGGTAATGATGGCAAATCCCTGAGCTGGAAACCCAGAGCCCCTCTGCCCCCCCCCCCCCTGCAGCAACACTGATTCCTCTCAGTCCAGACCCTACAACCTGCCAAGTGGGCCTCCACCACATCTCATCTGCGCACTGACCAGTAGATCCTCTAAGCATTTATGCTGCCTCAATTGTCAGCTGTTGCTTCACTTTATAAGGTGCTTCTCTTTGAAAATTTTGCTCAGTTCAGCTGGGAAGAAAGGTGGACAAGAGATTATTCCGTCTCATACTACAGCGGGCAGAAGGAAATTCCACCCCCTGGCACTGGCCAGACCAACGGGGCTTCAACTAGTCCAAGCAACCAGTTTGAGAAGACAACTGAGGCCCCTCCCTCATTCACATAAAGATGAAGGTGGGGGGGACATTCAGACTTGCAAAAGGCTGCTCTTATAGCCTCACAATGAAGGGAGTCCTGACCTTCTCAGCCTGGTCTGCCTCCTGGACCTCCTCCCAAGCCAGGAATCTCTTCCTCCGGCAGCTGATGCTCCAGAAGCCCAAATCCCCTGAGGTTGCCTGGTCTCCTCTCATCACCCCCAAGGGCAGCATGTTGCTTGGTGCAGAGAGGCCCTTTTGGGGGGCTCCTGGATCGTCCATGAAGGAATCCGAATCCAAACCCAAGCGAGGGGGCGAGGGAAGCTCCATTTCGCTGCCTCTCTCACTGCTTTCCACTGTGCCTCTACTTGTCCCTCACCCACCACATCTCCCCACCTCTGTGGTACAGTCCTGTTGCTCGCTCGCTCGCCCTCCAGGTTGTTTCCTCCTCCCATTCTGCCATCCACCATTTCTCACTCCAGGTTCATACTGGGTGAGCTCCTCCTGTACCACTTTTTGCCAATTCTTTCCCTGTTAATTTCAAGCCGGAGGTCAGCCTTTCACACAGCAGCTGTCACATGGCACACATTTCCACCGAGGTCACCAGAGCAGCCCTTCCACAGCCCAGAGGGGACTCACCGATGATGGCATGCACTCGGACCGAGAGATGCGTGCGCAGAAGCAGGATTGGCCGCCTCCCTTTGCTGCAACAAGAAGAGACCAAGTAATGAAGCCAGTCAGGACCAAGAACCCCCGGCTGACTCAAGATCCCCCCCCCCCACGCACGCATGCACGCACGCACGCAGGTCCTGCCATCTGCTGACACAAAAGGCAGCATCCAGAAAACATGGTATGTGACTTCTCTGCTGGGTGGGTGCCAGTCTGCATCCGGATCCAATTCAAGGTGTTGGCTGTGGCCTATTTGGGGCCAGGCTACCTATAGCACTGGCTTCATCTCAACACATCAGTCCATCTCACCTGGTCAGGGAGGAAAGGCATGTTGCAGACCCCGCCAGCCAAAGGATTTGGACTGAGGGTCCAGGAAGAGGGCTGTCTCAGCCCTTTGCCCCCGCCTGGTGTGATATCTTGCCCCCCCTGAGGCAGCCCCCCCTTCCTAAAAGGAGAGAAAAGGTGGCTGCAAGGCCTGGAGCCCAGGGGAGCACAGAGCTGTGGGGCTGTTTAGTCCATTGAAAAGCCCTTCCCTCCTTTTCATTCATTTTTAACATGATTTTTAATTTATTCTTGCCTTCAATTTTTAAGCACTGTTTTTACATTTTAATATTTGATTTGTGCATTACCCAGAGCCCTTCTGTGAAGACGACAAGCAGTTTAAAATTTTAAATAACAAACCACCAAAGTAAAAATCGAAAGCTGCCCGGCAAGGCCTTCCCCTGCAGCCAGCCCCTTGGGCCAGGGAGGAGAAAGGAGCTGCAGGCGGGGGCACCGCACATGATGAATCGAGCCTCCTCATAGATCAGTAAGCGCATCACGTTTGGGTCTGCCTGGTTGCCTCGTACACATCGAGCGCAACTTCTGACACCCCCAAATTGAGATGTCCTTCTCCTTGCAGATTAAAAGCGTCAGATGTGCTGGCATGAGATGCACAGGAGGGAAGTTTGCAAGTGGAAAAGGCGGTAAAATCCTCCAGCAGGGATTCACCTGATGTCTTCGTAAAATGCTTCCAGATCGTCCTTCTGCTCCAGCAGCGAAAGTTCCAGGTCCAAGTAGTATCCAGAAGGCAGCACTTGCAAGGCGCAGTCCTCCAGCTGCAAAAGAGGCACATCTGTATATTAGCCCAGCATGGAGCATCTGCTCTGCAATTCCTCCTGGCCCCTTGCCCAGCACGGGAAAGGCGGTGCCTGCATTGCCACCTAACCCTGGCCCCTTTGGAGGCAGGGCCAGATCCTGCCCTCAACTCCACCTGTTCAGGCGCTGGACCAACCCCAGGCCATCAGATGTCCTCTAAGGTGGATGAGAGCCCCATGCCCATCCAGCGGGAGCTGCTCAGAAGGGAGGATCCAGGAGACCCACACCTCAGCCCCCACCCCCACCGGTCTCCAGGTCCAGTCTGGCTTCCGCCTGCTTTTGTGTCCATTTCAGAAAAGCAGCCCAACCCTATAGGAGTTGAAGGAGAATTTCTTCCCAGCACTGAAGAAAAAAGAATCAGGCCTGCAAGCAGGGAGGTGGGAGTTTGCAGGCAGCCTTCCAGACTCCAGGAAAAGCCCCCAGCTCAGGCAGGGCTCCAGCTCTTACTGGAGCCCTAAAAGCCTCTGTGGCCCCTAAGAACCTCCTGGTCTGGCCACAAAAGGTCCCAAAGGGGGCAAAGCGAATCCCATGCCAATTGGGAAAGAGAAGGGCAGCCCACTCAGTCAGGGCCGCACCAGGCGCTCCTGGCATGGAGGAGGCAAACAGAGAGGAGGTGAGTTAGTAAGTCGCCCATCTGGAGGCCAGTTAGGAGGGATGAGCAATGAAAGGAGTAGCTTGCACTGCCTGCCTTATGTGAAAGAAAAGCTGAGGAAGTCCGGGTTGGGGGGGAGTCTCTTAAAAGGAGGGAAACCCCAGACTTCCAAAGAGGAAAAGAGTCTTCAGAATAAATCCTATGGCAGACAAGGAAAGTCAGAGGTGGAAAACCCCGGGCACCAAGAAGAAGGGACAACTCAGCCTGACTTCCAAGGGCAAGTGGGTGGGGGGTGGGGGGAGGCAAGACAAGAAGGGAAATAGACAGTACCATCACAGGAGGAAACTATTCGGAAAATAATGGAATGTGCCGAAATGAGTAAGCTTATATTTGAAATTAGAGAACAAGAGGATGAGCAATATTATAAAGTGTGGGACTTGTTTTACCAATAGTTAGATTAAAAAAAACCTGGGAATGAAACTGTCTACTTATGTTGTAGTAGTTTTTTGTCTTTTGTCTATTTTTATTCTTTCTGTTATGTTATAGAGTACTACTTATAAGATATATAAAGGACAATAATGATTTTAATGTATAAGAGTGGGATGATTTGGTATAATTGTATGTAGTGACCATTTTATATTAGAAAGATCTTTGTATATTAAACAGATCAATGATGATGTAAGGAATAATTG